CACACACACACACACACACACACACACACACACACACACACACACACACACCACGTTTGTAGTAGTAGCCCTAGTTACAAAAAATCATGTTCATAATAATCATTGTAATTCTGTGTTGTTTTGCTTCTTCCCAGGTTGGGTGGACAAGGCGGTCTTGTATCTGCCAGTATCGGTAAGTGAGTTTATTCGTGCGTTGTGTGTGAGGTTTTATTTGTTGCCCGCTCCCATAGCTATCGATATTAATGTATTGTGTCTATATCTTTTCTTTCTTTGCCTTTCCTCTCAGTCTATGATATTGAGGACAATATAGATTGAAAAGTGCATAAAGCTTGCTGTGGATCTGGAGTTTGCGTTACATTAATGTTATTTGTAATTACTGTTATTAGTTCAAAACGAACAAACAAAAATATGAACGCGAAAGGGGGGCATCAATGAACTTATGATAACCATTTTAGCTAAACAGGACAGATGAATAAAAGAATAATAAGAATCAACATGAACTTTGAGAAAACATTGAGATAGCGTGTTTCTATGTGTGTGTCAGTCTATATTCTTATAACAATATGATCCACACAGTAATATCAAAATTAGTGTACATAGTGCTTAAAACCTGATGATCCGACTAATAATAATAATGATAAATAAATAGCATTTGTATAGCGCATATCCCCGCTCAACAGCAGGCTCTATGCGCTTTACACTATATTATTACCCCAGCAGACCATAGAACACTCCGAAACATTCTCAGCTTCCCGGGAAGCATACAGTGCAAGCAGCTGATTAAGCGCTCAAACACTAACAAACTGACAAGATCTTTCGCTGTCTATGGTGGTACCCATTACCACCTGGGTGAGGTGATGAAAATTCGTATAAAGTGACTTTCCAAAGGACACAGTGTCGGGCCCCTGACCGGATTCGAACCTACGACCTTACGGTTGCGAGTCCGAAAGCCTAACCACTAGGCCACCGACTATATAGAATATCACACGGAAATCGGGATAAACAAGGCTGTCCCTATCACCCCTAACAGAAACAAGTTCTAAGAATGTCTTTAGTCTTAGCAAAAATTAAATGTTATACTAACCTAAACTCTTGTCACCCTTTCCCTTTGCAGGATCAGTGTACTGCAGTAGAGGAAATGCTTTCAGAAAACACCATTGATTTCACCTTCGAGCTTGCTCTAAAATCTTAGTAGAATTATAAAAATAAGACATACGTTACTCTGTTGCAGGCTCGACCATGATGGCCGCTCATTAGAAAAAAAAGCTGAGTCAATTATATAACAGTTCTGCTCACAATGTCCTCTCCGCCTTAACATACAACACAGACCACATGATAATATAAATCGATAGTAGTAAGTATTTCCTTACGCTGGCATGCTTCACGATAAAGGGGGAATAAGATATGAGTAAAGAAGACTCATCGAACATGTATCCGATCTGTTGGGAGGCTGTGAGGTCAGCTCGGTGCGATTTCGGTAATGATTGCAATGGATACAACAGTAACAACAGAACAACCATAATAACGGTAAAAAGATAGCTCCAGCAGGGACGGCAATAACGACGAACAAAGACCCAAACAAACACAACAAACACAACAGTAATAGAGTCAGACAGTTTGCTGTCGATTTTTATGAAAGATTCAAGTTTTGAGCCTGGGGAGACAGGAACGCTTTGAGAAGAACGAAATCGAACGGAAAAAACAAACAAACAACAGCGCGGGGGTAGAGAGGTGGAGGGTGTTACAAAAAGGAGTGATGGGTGTGTTCTTTGTTCGTGGAATAAAGAGTAATGTCAGGGAAAAGGTTAACGAACGGCTAGTTACATAGATTAATGAGAAGGCCTGTCAGGCTTCTGTTGGTATTTGTCAGGCAGTGTTCTTAGAGTACACAAAGATAGAAAGAGAAAGAGAGCGGGGTGAGAGAGAGGGAGAGAGAGAGAGACAGAGAGAGAGACAGAGAGAGAGAGACAGAGAGACAGAGAGACAGAGAGAGACAGAGTCAGAAAGATAGGGAGAGAAACGGAGATAGAGAGAGAAAGAGTGGGAGAGAGAGAGATAAAGAGAGAGACTGAGAGAGAGAGAGAGAAAGA